ATTTATTTAATTTAGTACAAGGTCTACAGGGTCTCACTATGTAGATTGGACTCAGTGATTGTCCCGTTTTCAGCCTCCCAAGTGCTGGGATTACAGGCGCATGTCACCATGCCCAGTCTTAATCACTGTGTCAACGCGCCTCAGGGGCAGAGCCAGCACAGGCATGCCAAGGATCAAACTCAGTCCCTGCCTCTGCCTAAACAGGTGCTTTAATCCACTGGCCAGCACTGTTTGTTTTTTGAGTCATGCCTTGCTATTTAGTTTAGGCTGGCCTTGTGAACTTGTGGTGATCTGATCCAACTGCTTCAGACTCCTGAGTGCTAGGGTTATATGCCTGGCTCAAACAAAAATTTTGAGGTACAAGAGAAAGGGGCCAGAAAAAGAAATCGGAAGTGTTGTGTACATGTACCAACTCCCCATAATGAATGTAATCATGTGTACTGTAAATATCTAATTATAAAAATAAACAATATATAAACTTTTTTTGTGGTGCTAGGGATTGGAAACTAGGCCCTTCTGCATGCACTCTATCACTGAATTATGTCCCCAGTCTCTTAAATAAAATACTTTACTTATTTTTATGTATTTTATTATAGGGTCCCACTACACAGATTGGACTCGTACTGATCCTGTTTTCAGCCCCCCAAATGCTAGGATTACATGCATGTGCCACTCTGCCCAGTCTTAAAATAACTTTTATTTATTTGTTTTTCTTTCTTTCTTTCTTTTTAAATATTTTTATTTGAAAAGGAGTCAAGCCTGTAATCTCAGCACTCAGGAGGCAGAGGCAGGGGACTTTCATAAGTTCCAGGCTAGTCTGGGGTACACAGTGAGTTCAAGGTCATTCTGAACTAGTGAGACCTTGTTTTGAAAAAAGAAAAATAAATAAATGCAAGCAATTGAGCCAGATGTCATGGTTCACATCTGTGATTTCAGTAGTTGGGAGGCTTAGTGAAATTGAGATCACTTTCATTTTTTGTATTGTCATAAGCAGACACAACAAACATTTTCAAGTTTTATCTGTGCTTTGTCATCCAGTCACTAAGGTAAAATAAACATTCAGAAGAAAACTTTGGGGTCAAAAGGTATGCACTGGATACAGAGGTAGTCAGAACACTGGACAATCCTACCAACATTGCCTAAGTGCCCATACAGTCTAAAAACCCCTATTAACATCTCTGAGTGTTCACTTGGCCAAAACTACTCTGATTGTCATTTTAACTTGGACATTTAGCCATTTGGTTTTTCTTTTTTTCTTTTTTTTTTTGGCGGAACTGGGGATTGAACTCAGGTAGGGAAGCACTTATTCTACCATCTCCCCGGACCCTGGTTTTCTTTTTTAACAAATTACTTCTTTGTACCTTTTGCCCATTTTTCTATTTGAAATCATCTCCAGCTTTTATATTGGTATGTAAGAGCCAACACAGATACTAATATGAACACAGCTATTAAAGCTATCAATCTCTTGTTATAGTCCTGTAAGCTTTCTCCCATGGTTGTATGTACATATGTATGTATGTATGTATGTATGTATATGTTTATTTATGGTACTGAGAAAAAAAAATTATGGTACTGAGGATTGAATTCAAAGCCTTCAAACTGGGGCTGGGGAGATGGCCCAGTGGAATAAGCACTTCCCTAGCAAGTGCAAGGGTCTGAGTTCAATCCCTGGTTCCGCAAAAAAAAAAAAAAAGTCTTCAAACTGAGTTACATCCCAGCCCTTTATTTTTATTCTGAGACAGTGTCTTGCTGAAAGTCACTTATTATCTAGACTTGGCTTAAACCTGCAATCCAGCCTCATCCCCAAAGTGCTAGGATCACGAGTACACTTCTTTATCCAGTTTTTGTTGTTGTTGTTGTTGTTGTTGTTGTTTGTTTGTTTGCTTTGTGTGTGGTGGCAGGGATTGAACCTGGGGTCTGGCTCATGCTAGGAACATGCTTTGTCACTAAGTCTCATCCCCAGACCTACCTTATATTTCTTTTTTTTTCCCCCTGGTGGAACTGGGGATTGAACTGAGGCCCTTGTGCTTGCCAAGCAAGCACTTACTCTAATGAGCTATCTCCCCAGCCTCTACCTTATATTTCTGACATTTACTTATTATGGATTTGTCATCATTTTCTTTTATACAGCAGGGTTTGTTTTTTTTTTCCACATTTGTCTGTTTCAGAATACTCACATACATAGCCAGGCATGATGGCACATGCCTATAGTCCCAGAACTTGGGAGCTGAAGCAAGTGGATTGCTGTAAGTTTGACACCAGCTTGAGCTACTGTATTAGTCAGGGTTTTACTAGAGGAACAGATATATTACAAGGAACAGATATAATGGTCCAGGGGGTGGAACCTCTAAGTGATCCAGTCAAGTTGACACAATGTATTGACCACTCCAGCTACATACTGTAGTGAGTTCAAAGCCCACCTGAACTTCATAGTGAGACCCTGTCTAAATAAACCAAAACAATACACATATATATATTTAACAGTGCTGACACTCCAGGATAGTCCTGTTGGTGCCCTTTCTTGTTTTCTAGTGCTCTCCAGGAGCAATGCGCCTGACGTTTTCCCTCTCCAGATCCTTATCTCTTTTCCTACAGCAGCCTCAAGGCACCATCGTATCCTATAGCAGTGTTCTATACTAGAATTCTAGAAAAGTAGGGGCTCCATTCTCATCACTCTTGTGTCTCCAAGAGCATGGTAAACACCTGCTGAATCAAGGGACCTACCTCTTACTGGTCTCTCTGCCCCTCTATAATAAACTGTCTACATCCTGGTGACCAAACTGATCTTTTAAAGATCTAAATCAAATTATGCTTCCCAGCACACTTTAGGCTAAACGTTAAGACTCTACTCTTCATCATTAGTGCTTCTCCACCCTCAAAGCCCACTCGTCTCTGCTGCATGGACTTGGGCCTTCTACCTTTTCCTCAGTTGTGTCAACAGGGCCGCGGGACGGCTGTCTCCTAGTCATTCAGGGCCAGCAAAGTCATATTCTCTAACAGCCAGCTTATATGAACTCCCCAGTACTGGAAGGTCAATCCTCTGATTCTCTGCAAAACAATCTACGTCTCTCCTTCCTCGTTTCTTGTTTTTAATGCCGCCTCAAAGTCCCGTGGATATACTAATTTTAGAGTATTTCTCAAAAGAAAGGAAGCAAATAAGGGGAGGATCCCGGTGCACCTGCGTTTCCCTAACCTCCCTCGCAGCGCACCTGGGCCTCGGCGCTCCGACGCTCCTCCCAGTCGCGGCAGCTGGCCAGGTCGCGCAGCCACTGCTCACAAGCTGGACGCTCTCCGTGGACGTAATAGTGGTGTAGGAAGTGTCTGGCGCTGCGGCAGAGCTTCCACTCGGCGTGGTAGGTCTCGCAGGGCCGCGGAGGCTGCGGCGAAAGGCGATGTCTGAGCAGGCCTGGTGCCCCGCTCCAGGTCCCCAGTCCCGTCCCACCTCCACCCCCAGAGAGGAACCAGTTAATCTTGGTCCGCCTGGATGCCCGAGGAACCTTAGGGTCAACTACACTCACCCGCCAGCTGCCACTGTCTGCCATGTCAAGAATACCGCCAAACCCCGCCTCCCTACCCCAGCAGCCAATGAATATCGGTTGCGTATGACAGACAGACAAAATAATAAATAAGCTCCGGGATATCGGAGCTAAATTCTCATTCACTTCCTCAAGAAGCGCCAATAAACAGCATCCAGGCCTGAACAGAGCAGCCAATAACAGCCACAGGAGGTGCTACGCAGGGACGGGCGGGGTAGGGCCGCAGGGCTTGGTCTGAAGGCTTGGAGCTGGGCTGCACGGTCGGTCGGTCGGTCGGTCGGTCGGTCGAGCGGTCAGCTATCTCTGGAACCCTTGGGCTCAGGTCTCTTCTTCCCAGCAGCTTTTATTTTTAAAAACCTCGATGACCTGGTTCACCGCTGGCAGCACACACTGGAGGCGGTGGAACCTGGTAGGTATATAGCTACAGTAATCAAGCCTTGAGTGTCTCCTCAGGGCAGAGGTAAACTCAACATAACCAGGTTTGATTCAGCATGATGTGTGTGCGGGGGGACCGCTGGGTGGGGCAAAGGCGCTGTGACAGAATTTCACTGCCTGTTTTTACTTGAAATTCTTGACTAAGAATTACTCTCAAGGAAAAAAAATTAACTGGATTAATTGGCTAGAAGATCTCTCATAAAAAGTGAAGATCTGAGGCTAAATTAAAGCTAATCAAAACAGCTTTAGTGATGTTTACTATTCACAGGCTGTGGGTTAAATCCCAGAAAATGAATGAATGAATGAATGAATAAATAAGACAAAAAGACAAGCCAGCAGAACATGGGAAAATTTAATAAAAGTAAAATTCAAAATTCCAAAGTGGGGGTAAGGAAGCAGACATATCTTTAGCATTTATTCAGTCTAAAATTTACATTTGGCTTCATCATGGAATTGTTTTATTCTAGAATAAATTCACTAAGGAGTCAGTTATTTCCATATGAAATCAAAATAAAAGTCTGATTTCAAGTGGATAGGGTTTCCTTTTGAGGGAAAGTATTTCTGAAAACAATTAGTATGTAAAATAAAATAGAAACACCCTTTCTCAAATTCTTAAATAGCAGCCAGAGTAGTGGGACAGGCACTATTTATAAAACACATACCTATTTAAACTCATTTTTTCTAGGCCAAAGACAATGCCTTTGCAAATGACCTAGGAAAAGAGAAAATGAAGAAAGAGAAAGAACACCTTGAATGAAACTCAATCATCTTCACTGGTTTGTTAGAAATTAAGGAACTCTTTTGCTGGGGCAGGAGGAAAGTCCTTGAGCTGAATGAACAGAATAGAAAAAGAAGGCCACCTACAGGACAGTAGAGATAGCTTTCTCTTTCCCCCAAATCAAGCATACAACCATGTTCTTCGGCTTCTCCACGTCCAGGTCAAACTTTGTAACTCTTAGGTAACACTAAATAAACCCTTAAGTAACAGCATTCTCTTGATGATGGTCTTATCCATGTCAGAGGCAGTAACTAAAAGCCAGTATGTTGCAATTGATTCCTTTATTTTCCAATCAGCCACAGTTTGGACTTAAGGCTTTCTTCCCTTTTTACGTAATGATTGTCCTTCTCCAGAGAATGCAACGAATCTACCTCCAGCTTCATCCTAGATATGAAGATAAGAAAATATGAAGATAAGAAACTATTTTCAGAAATTCTTTGGAGGTTTACAATAAATGCCTTTTTTATTTTGTATACTTGTGTATCATTCACCTATTATCTTTCCATATATAATAAGAAAGGTCTCTGAAATATATGTATAAATCATAATTTACTGTGCTGAGACACAAATGAGTGCTCCACTGCCTTTCTTTTCAGGTTGAATATACAAATGCTCCTCGACTTATGGAGGGGCTATCTCCTGATATAGTCATTCTACACTAGAAATATAAATTATGTTGAAAATGCAGGACCAGGGATATAGCTCAGTGGCACATTGCCTGGCAAGTGCAAGGCTGTAAGTTCCATTCCCAGTACCAGAAACAAGAGAAAATGCATTTAATAGCCAGGCATGAGGCAGGAGAATTGCCTGGGTTACAAAGTGAATTCAAGGCCAGCCTGAACTATGTAACAAGTCCCTGTCTCAACAAGAAGCCAAAATACAAAAGGACAAAAAAAGAAAACGCATTTAATACACTCAACCTATGAAACATGGTAGCTTAGCAACACAGCATACCATCCAGTACTGGTTGTTTCCATTTGACAGGGTGGATCACTGGGGGAGCTATGACTCAATGCTGCCATCTAGCAATGCAATACTGTATTTCGCTATCCCAGAAAAAGATCCAAATTCCAAATTCTACGTAGTTACCAGTGAATGTGCATTGTTTTCACATTGTTATAGTCAAAAAATCCAGAAGTGAACTATAGTGAGATCTTTTATATATCCTTTTACAGAATAATTTTCAGTATAAAAAATATATTTCAAGAAAAAATCACCCATAACTTCATCACCCCAAAATAACACTTTCATTCACATTTCTGTATGTGCTTATATAAACTCTTTTCCCATTTAATTTGATGCCAATGAATCCACCTGGCATGCTCTAAGGTCTATAGAGTATTCTGTTACGCAGCAAAGACAGTATTCTGCCAGTGGATGTCCCTGTTAATTCTAAGTTTGTAGTATTTTGCTGCAGTGAGCACCTTAATGTGTTTGTACACACCTGATCTTTCCTAGTAGAATTTCTAGGGAAACAGTGGACACTGATCCCTTTGAAGCTTTTACTGATTTATGGGTTGAACCTGGGACCTTTGCATTGACCCACACTTCTCACAGCCTTTTATACTTTTTAAATTTGTAATTAGTTGATTAAATTGATTAATCAATTAGACAGGGTCTCTTTATGTAGTCCAGAATGGCTCTGAACGCACTATGTATGTAGCTCAGGCTGTCATCAAACGGACATCTCCTTGCCTTAGCCTCCTGAGTGCTGGGATTACAGGCATGGACCACCATGCCTGGATTATTACTACCACGAATTGGGCCTGGCTGGATGACATATCTCTCTACCCAAGGTTGCTCCCTTCTCTCTCTGCTTCCAGGTTGCCCTGATGTGAGCAGCTTTTCTTCCCCCATGTCCCTCTGTTCTGCCATCTCTGCCTTGGAGTTGTGGATTATTATTATTTTTTCTTTTTTGTATTTAGTGCAAGGTCTACAAGGGTCTCACTACACAGATCGGACTCCTAGTGATTCTGTTTTCAGCTTCCCAAGTGCTGGGATTACAGGCGTGTGTCACCACACCCAGTCTCAATCGCCATCTCGGCTGTGCCCCAAGGGTGGGCTGACACGGCTCCTGCGTTTGCCTAAGCAGATGCTTTAATCTGCTGAGCTATCTGGCTCGCCCTTGGAGTTGTGGATTATGAAATGAACCCTGAACCAAAACAAGCCTTTCTCAGCATGTCTTGCTGGTCCCGCTCCTGGGGCATGCTGAGACAGATTGAGACTAGGCATGGTGGCATGTGTCTGTAATCCTAGCACTTGGGAAGCTGAAAAGGGGAGAATCACTATGAGTCTGATCTACATAGTGAGACCCTGTAGACCCTGTACTAAATACATAAAAACAAAACAAAAACCAAGTCTTTCTTCTTTTAAGGTATGTGTGTTGGATATTATGTCCTAGGGACAAGAAAGTGACTAAGACACTGAGGCCTCAAGTCTGAATCTTCCAAAAGCCAGCCTATAACTGGTAAAGTCCTAGAGGGGGGCTTACAGAGGTGCCAGCAGGTAAAGCCTGATTAGAAGACCATCATTTGTTTTACTACGAATGGAAGGTCCCTAACACTTATGTCAATTTGAGGAATATTAATGCCTGAAGCAGCTGTAAGTTGCTTGGGTATGTAGGCAGAGACAGCAAAACTGTAGTCTCTGTTCCTAACTACCTCAAATGCTACAAGGGAAGAGTTTGGTTGTCAGGAGGTTGGTTGCCAGAGACTGGTTCTGTCTGGCAGCCCATCTGGAACAGGTTGCAGCACAGCTGCACTTTGCCTGTTTCAGATGGGCTGTCAGACTAGTCAGGGATCTCTAAGCATCTAATCTTTTAAGAAAAGGAACCAAAAAAGTGGTAGGTCTGAAAAGTGTGGGTGTTCTAGAAACATTCATCACACTTAGGAACCAAAGCTAACACCCTGGAATGAGTTCCTGAATGATGAACACTTCCCTTAGCCAACTGCTATTCCTGCTCCTGTAAAAAACGGAACATGCCCAACCAAAGAAGGCCTGCTGTTTGGAAATCTAACTAAAGGTCACTTCTAGAGTTTTGTGGCACTGAAGTGTGATATACAGTGGTCAGGAGCTCTACCCTGGGGCAAGAGAATCTTTACATATGCATTATACAAGTGTAGACAAAACAAAGCATCCTCCTCACAGGGTTGTTTTAGTGATTAGAGTTGTTATACATGAAATACTTAGCGTGGTGCCTGCTACCTAGCAACCTTTGTCAACCAGTATTTTGCTAGTCACCATTGCTAGATGATGCCAAAGTGTGGCAATGATGATAGACAGACGCTTAAATGCCACTGCTTCTCACTGCCCTTACGGTTTTGGAAAGCTGTTGTCAGAAGCAAGTGTGCCTACACACATGACACCCACCCAACAATTTTCACACCACACCCTGACTACTGCTTGGGGGCCAAGCACCTGCTGAGACTAGGCACCAGGCCTCAAAGTGTTCATGCCTACAGGATGCTCAACCCTAACTTTCTCCTACACTATGACCATCCTATGTAGCTAGAAGTAGCCAAGGTGTTGTCCAGAGATTGCTAGAAGAAAGCAAAGAGAAGATAAAGCACACACAGGGCACTCAGCTCTTTAGTGACAGAGACTGAAGTGGCTCCTGACTCTGTGATGCCAGGCCTTAGCCTAGAAAGGCCCACACAGGCTGTACATAAACAGCAGGCTATTAAACAGAGGAGGGTTCCAGAAATGGGGAAAATATAACAAAAGCCTCCTATTCAGAATAGTAACAACCTCAGTCACTAGAACTCACCTCTTCAACTTTTTTGATGAGTGGACGTGAATTTCTGATGAAAGTGATCTTACCAAGTTTAAATTCGTAATTAGGAATTCCTCTGTGAAGAAGACACAAAGACATGTTAGTTTTTCAGGAAGGGCTAAAATTTGCTTCTGGTAATCAGGGGAGAGCAAACATAAAAGACAAGTGTTCTCTTGGTGATCCTTCCAGGAAATACTGTTGTATCTCAATGTAGGTATTTGTCCAGCCCTTGGGTGCTTCCCAGCATTTTTCTAGCAGAGACCCAGGTCAAAAATGGTTCTAATTTAGCATAAATACTAGGTGTGGTAGATAGCCTTGACTCTGGACCTGGCCTATGGTAAAGGGTCATCTCAAACCTCACAAATCCTTCTGCAATGGTTATACTCATTTAACTCTTTTAGAGACCAGGTAAAAGAACCCATCTCTAGCATTTGCTTTCTGCTTACACACAGCAGAGAGCAGAGTCATGTTACCTGCCCCCACTGTGAAAGCCACCACAGGAAGAGTTTGCTGAGTCACTGGACTCAATGAAATCAATGAGAGAAGTCATGCCCCACCACAGCTAGAAAACAAATAGGGATGTAAGTCCACCTGGTAGCCTGATGGCCCTGGCTTTATCTCCTCAGGGGGCTCCCTCGGACTCTCCTTAGATAATAAAATGTCTGGTAGAGGCAAAGCCAGGACAGACTTACCTTTTAATGTCTCCAGGCTTGATTGGGGAAGGACTAGGCTCAACTCCTTTCTTCTTTCCATCTAGTCTATTCCCAGAACCTGAGAAGGCCTAAAAAGGGAAGTAGGAGTCATATACTGAGTCCTATGATGGAGCACAGATATATCCTTTCCTCAGACTGCTGTAGGGATATTAGTTGAGGGATATCCCAAGGGATATGCCAAGATATCATTAAGACTAAAACCCTTGCTCCCCCATTGCTGGAGTCCTGATACACAATTTCTCTTCACCTAGCTTGCAGAGTACTGCTGGAACCTGTAAGAGCCATCTTATGAGGGCTGCCAACCGGTAATGAGTTGAAAGGTCTAACACTGGCCTTTCAAAGGCTATCTAGCTCAAGATCTTGTAGGTTTCTTAAGGCCTCTGCCTCTAGACTCAGCTTCCTGAATAACCAGTCATAATCCCTCAACTGTCTCCTGGTACCCCAACACCCACATGTGAACCATCTCCACCTGCTTCCCAGGTAGCCTAACTGGGCCCTAATGATTATGTTTGCAGCTTACTTTCAGTCCAGGCAAAGAAAAATAGAATATGCATTTAGAGAGATAAAAAGTAAATATGGTAAGTAATAGTGAACCTAAAACAGTGGTGGTGAACCTATGGCATGTATGCCACAGTGGACATGCAAAACCCTCTGTTGGCACACAAGCCCAGTCAACTGAACTTTGGATTAACAGTGCACACAGGAATGCAAAAGCACTGGGTGATGATATCATGAGATGCGGCCATCAACTGTGACTTATCCAAGTTTTCCCATGGCTGGTCAGTGTGCTGCCAAGGATTGATATATTTGCTAGGACTGGGTATGAGTTCTAACACATTTGTTCTTATTAACACACGATTTTAGCTTCAAGTTTTATGAAAAACTGGAATTTAATATCTAAGATTTAGCAAACAGATGCTCTAATTAAGAATGAGATTCTTTTAATATTGTACTATCACCCTGGCATATTTGAATTTGAAGCATCATATTTAGCTGTTTGTGCAGAATTTATGAAAATGAAAGTGAGAATCTATGTTTGCCTGAACTGGGTGTGACCTTAGTAAAAGACCCCACAAAGGAGAAGATGCCTTTTTCCCAATAGGCCAAAAGTCACTGGTCAGTGGAACATTGCCCCTAAGATGGTGGTCAGGAAATTCCAGGAACCTCAGCTGAGAATCACATCCATAGGCTGTTGATTTGGGGAATATTTAATTCTTTAGTGTTAATTAACTGCATGAGCTATTTTTGGTAGAGGGTTAGATGTGTGTTAGGTATGTCAATGTTTAAAAGTCTGTGTTTTTGTAGACTCCAAATCTTGAACACTAAAAAATGACTACAACTAAAAAAGGAGAACTGAAAACAGAGTGGAAGATCATTCCAAGAGGCATGGATGGCAGCAAGGGTATTCTGTGATATCAAAACATTTGAGAGAAAACTGAAGGTTTTTGAAAGAGACTTTGCAAGTGGGCAGCTAAAGTATTTTCCAAATCTAAAAATTAATTTTGGGAATTCTACAACATTTTCAGAAAATCCTACAAGCCATCAGAAAGTCAACAAGGAATTTTCCATCACTGTAGCAGCTAAGGGAAAGGAAAACTTAAGTAACAGATTTTTATAGTCCCATAAGATGGTGACAACCTTTTTTATTTCTTTAGATTAAGTCAGATTTGAAGAGCTTGGTTTTCCCTGTTTACACTGGCTAACTTTTGGAAATCTAGAAACAGAGCTGTTGGAATTTCAAGAAAGCTCTATCTGGAAAAAACAAATTCTGTAACTTGTATGCAGCTCTTGAGAAGATAGAGAAGATAGTATATGAAGATAGTATATGAAGATAGTATATGGCAAAGGACAACACAGTTGGGAATCTTGCAAATTAAATCTTTAAAAGTATAGAATTCTCTGCCAAATAATTTTAAGTAAATGAAAGCAATTAGGATTGCTTATCTTACTTTGTTTGGATCATCTTATACTTGTGAGTGGCAGTTTTCAGTTTTGAATTACATGAAATCTGATATAAAAAAAAAAGATGACCCGAATACTACAAATGACCGGAATGATGTATAAGCCAAGGTTTAAGTAATTATCAGCATGCATACAACAGCACACATCACATTAACTGAGCAAAAGGATGCCAAGCCCAAACATTTACCTTTCAATAAAAAGGTGATTGTATCATTGAAAGCTCTATCATTATGTTTTTCTTTTAAGACAAGATGTTTATGTATGAGTTATTTTTTCTAAACTAAAACCTTAGTATTCAGGCTAAGTTGCAGTGTTGGAACTTTGTGATAAATGAGTTGTTTTCGGGTTGCAGTTTGGACCCTTGATTTTTTTTTTTTTTTAATTTATTTATTTGTGTGTGTGTGTGGCCAGCTCAGCCCACCAGGGGGCGGGGCTGGCTGGCATGTGGTGCTGGGGGATTGAACTGCAGTCTCTATGCTTTGCTAAGCTTGTTCTAAGTAGGTGCTCCAGACCACTGGGCCATCTCACCAGCCCCGACCCTTGATTTTTTAAAAGGTTCACTACAGAGCTGGGGAGATAGCTCAGCAGTCTAAGCACCTGCCTGGCAAGTGTAAGGACCTGGGTTCGATCCCCAGTACTGTATGCTGTGCTAGCCACCGAAACCAGGCATGGTGGTGCACGCCTATAATCCCAGCAAGGGGAAGGCTGAGACAGGAGGATCATTACAATTTTGAGTTGTACAGCAAGACCCTGTACCAAATAAATAAATAAAAGATTAAAAAAATTTAAGAAAAAAAAAGTTCACCATTACTGATTGAAAAAAAGGGTATTCATGTCTGTTGTCCTAGTTTAAGGTTTTGGTAGAGTAGAAATTTTTAAAAAGAACATGAAAAAGTTGGGGCTGCCTTATAGGGTTGCTAGGATTGCAAAAGAAAATGGTTGTATAAAAGTGTTTGGTAACTAAGCAAGTGCCTAGTTAATATGTGCATGGATACCCAGAGTCCAACCCTGGAAATGTCCACAAAACACCACAGAGAACAGCTTGCCGTGAGTGTCCTGGTTCAAGGGGGCACAGAGTAAGATGGATAGTCCGGTACTCACACGGAAGCCCAGCTCACCAGCATAGCCACTGTGGTCAGCGTCACTTTCCTGATGGGAAGATAGAAAACAGGAATGAGTTTGTCAGCAGGGACACCTAGCTTTTCCCTCAGTGTCTAGTTTCTATTGGTGTCTAGTCACCGAATTAGGAAATACCGTCCCCATAAAGAGTAGGGGGAAGAGAAGCTGGCAATGTAAAGAAACCAACCTCAGCCAAAGCTAAAAGTACTGCAATGAGGAAAAAAAAACAAGGAAAGTCTGATATGGGTTGGGACCGGCCTCCAGAGAAACTACTTACTGTTGACTCCTCGTGTTGGACTTGTCTTTCAGGTTCTTTGTAGCCCAGAGGAGCATCAAAGTCCACCTGCATTTCTCAGATGAAAAGTAAAGTTTTGAGACACAGCCATAGTTAGCTCTTTGACTTTTTTTTTTTTTTTTTTTTTTTAATGTATTTTAGTGCAGGGTTTACAAGGTCTCATTCCATAGACTGGACTTGTAGTGGTCCTCCTGTTTTCAGCCTCCCAAGCACTGGGATTACAGGCACATGCCACCACACCCAGCCTTAGCCACTGTCTCAGGGCATCCTGGGGGTGGGGCCGGCATGGCACAGTGGGGACTGAACCCTGGTTCCTGCACCTGTCTAAGCAGGTGCTTTAGTCTGTTGAGCTATTTAGCTGGCCCTCTTTGTTTTGAGACAACTACAAATTCACATATAGGTCTAGGAAATGACAGAGATGTTTGATACACTTTGCCAATGACAACATTGCAAATTACCACAGGACAATATTGGCAAATATTACTCATATATAGCACTCCCAGTTTATGTACATACCTGTGTGTGGGGTTGTTTGCATGCATGCATGCATGATTAGATTTATTAATTTTATCATCATGCAAAACTATGTATCCACCACAGTGAAGATACTAAACTGTTCCACTACACAAGGATCCCTTGTCCCTGGCAACCACTAATCTGTCTTTCACATTTGAAGCCCTGATACCTTGAGAATTTCACATAAAGGAAAGCAGCCCCATAGGTAGCCTTTTTGGACCAGCCCTTTTGCTCATATTAGGGTGTTGTACACATCAGCAATCTGTTCCTATTCAGGATACCTCTTTCATTCTTTTTTCTTTTTTGGTTTTTTGAAACAGGGCTATACTTTGTAGTGCAGATTGACCTTGAACTCACCATGAAGCCCAGACTGGCCTCTAACTCTCAGTGACCCTCCTGCTTCAGCCACCCACACACTGGAATCATACGCCTATGTTATCACATCCAGCTCCTAAGAATATTTATTTTTTGGCAGATCTGACCCAACTGTAAATCTAGACAGCTCTGCACCGGTAGCAAAGTCTCCCACCTCTACTCCTTGGTATGGCTTGCTATGTAAATGATCTCCTTATGATGTTCTAACAGTATCCTCTTCCTAAAGTGCTCTCAGACAGTGTGGGACAATCTCCTGGGGCCCTGGGCTGAGCCAAATAAAATTATAAAAAGTTACTCACATTCATGTCACACTCGATGATGGACACAGCCTTGTCAGGTTTGGTTTCCATCACCCGTAATTCATAGATCTGCAGAAAGAATATATAAATGAGTTGGACAGTTTTAAGACAGAACCAGGTGCTGGCAACATCCACTTATTAGGACTTTCTACCATGGACAAAACCTCCACAACTACAAAACCAACTTCCAGTTGCACCTCTTTCTTTACCAATGCTGTTTTTATGTTCACTGCTGTGGGGAGATCACTTCTCATACATGGTTCCAATCAGACCACAAGTGGTTTTATACAGTAGTAATGCAAAAGATACTACCTTTTACCCAGAAAACTAGCTTCTGGCAATTTTTTCAAAGTAAATAATTAACTAAGTAGAAAAAGGGGAAAATTCTAAGAATGCTTCCTGCATCATTACTAGTAATATTGTATATCCAAGATGCCTGTCAAGAGATTAATGTTAAGAACAATAACAAAGCCCAGGAGTGGTGGTGGACTACTGGAGCCCCGCCACTCGGGATGCTGAGGCACCAGCATCACCACTGAGGTTTTTTTTTTTTTTTTGTTTTGTTTTTTAATGTATTTGGTACAGGGTCTGCAGGGTTTACAAGGTCTCACTACACAGATTGGACTCGTAGTCATCTCCTATTTTCAGCTTCCCAAGTGTTGGGATTACAGGTGCGCACCACTACGCCCAGTCTCAATTGCCATCTCAGCATGCTGGGATCAAACCCCAGCCACTGCGCTCTGCCTAAGCAAGCATTTTAGTCTGCTGAGCTATCTGGCTAGCTCATCACCACTCTGTTTGAGGCCAGCCTGGACTACATACTGAGTTCAAGGCCAGCCTGGGAAATACAGTAAGACCCTGCCTCAAAGGGGGGGGGGGGAGGACAAAATAAAAAATCAAACATCATTCCCAAACCAAAAATGAGAAGTCTATCTATAATTAATTATAAGAGCATATTCAGTTATGCTACAGACAAAAAAGTGTATGTTTGTTATTTTTGAAACCCACAAAACTGGAAAGTGTAAGTTATCAGTATCAGGTGCATCAAATATAAGGAATCTGCCAGAGAAGAAGCTAGATCCCTATACTGACATCAAATAACTGACTTCTAGACCCCAGATGGAAGACCTGACTGGCTTAGGGTGTGGGGACTCCAGGGAAGTGAAATGAGGGAAGGAGCACTGGTCTCATGAAAAGCCAAGGTAAGCCAGGCTGGGGTCACTCTTGACCACTGAAGGCTCCATGAACTGTTAATTGTCACAGTGGATGAGAGGCACCTATACTGCTGTGCCCCACATCTATAGTAGTCAGTCTAGTGGCAGAATTTCCAGTTAGCCATTTTCCTTCAGCCATGTTTTTATGGATAATGGGAAAGTAGACACCTTCTTGAATTTTGTGGGAACTCATCTGGCATTTCATTTTATAGCTAACTTTTCTAGAATCAGACATCAAAGAAACATGGAATCCTGAATGAACATAAGAGGTATTTAGACCCAAAAGATCTATGTCAAGAAGGACTAAACCCAGAAGAACTGCTATGGGAAAACTGAAGTTAAAATATAGGAAACACAGGAGGTACTGTCCCCAGGTAGAGCCAGGCTCTGCTTTCCAGGTGCCTAACAGTACTCAAACCCTTGTAAAGGCCAGCTGCTTGAAAGCCTGCTTCCAAGGGAAGGCATCAGAAGATAAGAACCTAACTGGTCTGTTTCTGGGTCCTGATAGAACAGCAAAAGGCTTAATTTAGGTTATAGGTACAGTGAAAACCTTTTTAACAGAGGCAAAATTGGCAGCATTGCCACTGTACGTATAAGTATGATTTATAAATATAACATTATTGAGCCTATTGATCTACAAATGTAACTAATCCTTGAGACATAGTTGCTGAGTGAATCAGGGCTCTCAACATGAATCTATAGCAAAAAATTAGGGAGTTATTTTGGAAACAGGGTCTTGTGTAGTTTAGGCTGGCTCTGAACTTAGTATGTAGCCCAGGTTGGCCTCAAACTCAGAGATCCTCTTCCTTAGCCTGAGTGCTGGGATTATAGGTATGTGCCACCACACCCAGCCAGAAAATTTTAAGACACAGGCAGTAATTACATGATGTGATCCAGTAATAATACTCTGCTTAAAAAGAAGCCCTATTTAAACAGCAGAATGAGGCCGGCCAGATAGCTAGCAGACTAAAGTGTCTGCTTAGGCAGAGTGCAGTGGCTGGGATTTGATCCCCAGCATGCTCTGCTGGCCCCACCCCCAGGGTGGGCTGAGATGACAACTGAGACTGGGTGTGGTGGTGCGCGCCTATAATCCCAGTATTTGGGAGGCTGGAAAGAAAAGAATCACTATGAATCTAATCTATGTAGTTAGATCTTGTACTAAATACAAAGATAAATAAATAAATAAACAACAGAATAGACAATGCAAATAGCTCTTAAGTAAAAGCTATGCTAAGGGTGGTCTACATACCTTTTCATTGTAGTTGATGGCGATCACATCCCCAGTGGTCAGACAGGCAAAGTTTCTTAGTGCATTTTCTAATCTGTGGACATACATTGTCAAGGCAAGAGGGCAAGACACACATCTTCTTTATGTAATGAATGTCTATTAAGAGGGTGGATGGTTACTGTCACATACAGGGAATACATACTATGTTGGAACTAAAACACACAGCTTTGGCTTGAGGATGAAGCTGGGTAGTACAGTGCTTGCCTAGAGCACTCAAACAAATCTCTTCAGTTCCATTCCCAGCACTGCAAAAATAATTTAAAAATGCAGCATTAGTACAGTGGAACCATACTTACAGTGATGCTGCACACTTAAATATAGAGAAGCTGAACCTAAATTGAACCCTAAAATCCAGAACACTTGGCCTCTGAGCTAAGAGATGACTTCTTGTATCATTGTTGTATGCCTTGGTATATGTTCTGTGGAAGCTTGTTACCTTCCGTGTTTTACACAGCTGGCTGCCTTTCAGTTGACAAAAGTGACACTTTTTCTCTCTGCAGCAACAAGTTTATCACACTGACAGAAACAGCTTCTGAAAACAAGCCTGTAAGTCTAATTTGCAACATGTATAAAAATACAAAGATCAGAAGGGGCTCTGGCCACAGAGAAAGGGGCTCCTTTCTGGTCAGTGAGAGTTGAACATCTTCAGTCCAGCATTCTGAAGGAAAAGTTAAGACCCTTTCCCACAGGACATTCCCCATCTGCAGGACAGGAAGCCTCCACCAAGGACTATTCCATGGACAGAGTGCTTAGCATGCCCACAGGTCCAGGATTCAGCCAGCAGGGGGCTCAATACAGCCACTGTGTTCAGGACATGATAAGCAAAGGACTTAATAGGGCCTGTTCACATACTGGACAACATGATGACTTGCAGCTTAAGGCTGACAATGGGCCAAGATTGCAGATGGAAAGGGAAGCAGCAGGCCTGGAAATGGTGAGGAGGTGGAGAGGGAGGCAGCTTTTTTCCTTTTCTTAACTTTCCATGTTTTTCAGTATATTTTTTTTAAGGGTGCGTTTTTAAAACTAGGGCTGGGGATAGAGTAAGAGAGCATTTACTTAGCAATGCACAACACCCTGAGTTCAATCCTCATAACAGTGCTTGCTAAGCTGCGTAGCCGAGACTAGCCTTGAATTTCTACTCCTCCTACCTAGTATATGCCATCACGTGCAGGTATTATCTCAAAAAGCCAACTGAGCCATCAAGCTAGATGTGCAGTCTACAAACTGCACATCTCTCATCCACTTTGGCAACGTCTTTACATATAAAATACATATACCTGGCTTAAGCTCTAAGTTAAACATTAAAAAAAAAAAAAATCACTAGAACCAAAAGCCTTTGTTTTCTGTTTATAGAAACAGAAAATGGTTTGAAGTGAATGTGAAGTGAATGAACCTAAGCCTAGGCATATAGTGGCGCTAACTGGCTAACTAATGGCTGAGCTGAGGGACTGGGGTCCACAGAGAGGATGGGGATCACAAATGAACCATCCTCCTCCTGCTGAATGTACTGTGCTTTGTGCTACAAAAAAAAAGTCCAATTGAAAAACAGGATTCTACTTTGGCTTCTACTTCACCAGAGGTCATTAAACACTCAGTGCATTTGGCAAAGGCTGAGAACTAGGAGGATATTTTGGTTACATACTATTCTTTTTTCTTTTAAAGATAAGGTCTCATTATGTAGTTCAGGCTGGTTTTGAATGCTGTGTAGCCCAGGCTGGCTTTGAACTCACAGTGATCCTCCTGCCTTAAACTCCTGAATCCTGGGATTACAGTTGTGTGTTACCTTGCCCACTAAATGTAATTATTCGTAAATTACAACTTCAGTCACAAATAACAGTGTGTTCCCCAAAGTAAGCAAAGATTTAACAAAATGCCTGATGGTTAATGACTGCTAGATCATCCTTTTTTGAGCAGCTCTTCCTTTTAAAAATTTGTTCAGAATGGGGGATGGAAACCAGGGCCTCACACATGCTGGGCAAGTACTCTACCACAGAGCGAAATCCCCTGCCCTTAGAAATAACTCTTCTTTCAAAAGGATACACTGCTTTGGGGTTGGTGATGTCCAGGAAGTCTGGGCTCTGAGGCTGGAATTTGGAGTATGTGGCCACTTGAAGGTTGACACTCTCCACCTGAACCAGGCCCCCTTCTTCCAACAGCAAATTCTGCATCATCTAAAAGGATTCAGAAGAAGGCTGCATGAAACTCCTATGGGGCTACCATAGCTGCCATCTACCCATATACTCAGGGATAGATAATTTCATTGATGTTTTGCTTTACCGCGTTTTTTTTTTTTTTTTTTTTTTGGTGGTAGCAGGGATTGAACTCAGGACCCTGCGCTTGCCAGGCAAGCGTTTACTCTATTGAGCTATCTCCCTGGTCCACCTGATCTTATTTTTAAGAAAGGGTCTTGCTGTGTAGTTCAGGATAACCTCAAACTCACTATGTAATATGAGTTGGCTCAAACTCATGGCCACCTTCCTGCCTCAGCCTCTCAAGTCCTGAGATTATAGGCATGCACCACATGCCTGGCATGATACAATGTCAAGAAGGAATAAAAATTTTTTTTTGATTTCCAGTACCCACCAAAAAAAGGAAGAAAAAAAAAAAATCAAGTGATGGAAACATATAGAAGGAAAAATGCTAACAAAGGGGCTCTATCTTAATTAATTTATTTATTTATTAATTTATTTATATGTACTTAGCACAGGGTCTACAGGGTCTTACCACACAGATTAGACTTGTAGTGATCCTCCTGTTTGCAGCTTCCCAAGCGCTGGGGTTACAGGCGCACATCACTACGACCAGTCTCAGTTGCCAGTCTCAGCATGCCCCAGGAACGGGACCAGCACAGCAAAGCACCCCATGGCAGGGATTGTATCTAGTCCCTGTGCCTGCCTAAGTAGTGCTTTAGTCCACTGAGCTGTCAGGCCAGCCCACAAAGGAGTTCTGTAAAGGGTACTTAAGCTACTTCACTGTCAGGCTATTTCAATTGGCCACCAGCTCCAGGCCTTCTGTAGTAAAACATTTCCCTGGGATGCTCAGCTCAATTCCTGGCTCTCAAGCTGACCCAAAAACTTCTGAGTAAATGGGGCTTCATTTGAAAGCAGAAGTACGTGCATGGAATAGCTTATTATAGATGAAAGTGTAAGGTAGTTATAAGGTCCCAGATATTTCTGCTACAAAGGGATATAAAAAAACTGATAGACACCCTCACCTACCTCTTAAACCATCCAGCAAGGTAGATGATGGATGAGGAAGGAGATGGAAGACATAAACAAAGCCTATGAAAACCTGGCATGTGGTGAGCCAGGGCACTATAGTATGACCAAGTCTCAGGTCACTGTCAATGAAAGGAACCCTGCATATTCTGGAATGAGTTATTTTCTTACTTTAAATCCTCTTGAATAGAAAAGCAGACATATACACAATCTGTGAAAACCACAGAGTGCATCTCCACACACCCTGCCGGGAGAAGTAATTATGGTAATCAAGATGAAGCCCAGTTTATGTATCAGTGCTATGGCATTCCCTAACCCATTCAATACTGATCAGCCCTGAAGTAAGCAGCCCACATATCACATCCCTTTAGAATGCTACACCAGGAGCAGCAGTTAGGAGGTGACTCAGTCCAAGGGAAAGGGGGAGAGGAGGACAAGGGGCAAGTCAGAGGGGGATGCTTGTTTGGACAGAGGGGCAGACCAAGAGCTGTACCTGCAGGAAGATGAGCCCCAGCCAAGAGTGAAGCATGAGTATGAATGTGCACTATAATGAGCCTGTGGAGGCCCTAACACAAAAGTGCTGAAAGGGGAGCCTGGGAGATGGCTCAGTAAAATAAGCGCTTCCCTGGCAAGTGCAAAGGTCTGAGTTCAATCCCTGGTCCTGCCAAAATAAAATAAAATTAAATTAAATTAAAAAAGTGCTGAAAGGTGCTCATTAGGATGGAAATAGCAGAAATAGAGGAGTGGTGCTATTCCACATGCCAATAGGGCAATCAAGTATGGCAGCTAGCTAGCTTTGACAATCAAGGGTTCTGTGACCCAGGGGAATGGAAGTGAGGAGAAAGCACAGAGTTCCTGTCAGGGAGCTAGCCAGGCTACCACTCTAAAAGGGCCCTGGGACCCAGCCAAAGAAGACAGTCATCCCCACAGTGGCATAGGCCAGGTTATTTCCTGTAGGAAGGAAGGGACCATTAGAACTTGTAACTATCTTTAATATCAGAAGGAGGAAATGCAATGTGGTGATTACAGTATGAACCAGCAGGAGGTGGCAGTGTTTCACAACACTGCTCTTGTAGTACTGGGGTCTCAGATATGAGAGTTGAACCACTTCTGTATGTTCCCAACCCTGCCCAGAGTACAGGGAATTTCCTGGCACCTGACATAATTAAAGCACAGAGAAAACAATACATGTTTTTCTCTGTGGGTTTCTCAAAGCTATGGATGTCACAACTGGAGAGAGGGTGGGAACAGGGGTGGGGAGAAAAGGGAAAAGGAAGCTACATGGTTCTCAAGGCCATCTATGTGGGATGGTCAGCACCTTACTATAAAGCTCACCTCTCTGACTTCAGAGGCTGTTGTACCTTTGACGACTAGGTGTGCAAGGACATCCTTCAAGTCCAGTAGGCCTGTGTCTCCATAGCCAAGTAGTATGTTTAAGACATATCAGAGTGTGCTGTTTCAGATTTCTTTCTCACTGGACTATTCTGCTTGTTAGCAAGACCTTTGAGTGTGTACTTACACAGTGGGAGGGGGGATCTCTATCTCTGAAGCCCCTGTCTAGTAACAGGCAAAGGGTTACAAACTCTCCAAAGACCGTGGCAGCCCCACTTACCCAGTGTGGAAGGTAGCAGATACCTTCATCAGCCACAAATTCCAGCACACCACAGTGTGTCATGCGGTCAGAATTCTTATTGGTCAGTTTGAACAGCATGGGGTAGGTAATGTTAAGTCGGCCTAAGAAGAACAAACATGTTATGAGGCTTGGTTCAGGGTACCCTGAGGCACAGCTCCTGTGGAGGACAGAAGCCCAGTTCATCTAACACTTCCTTGGAAGGAGCCTCCTCACTACTCAGAGAGGCTTTTGTTCCCCATACTTGAGTATTTGTTCTCCTGAAGTTCCTGCCTCCCAACAAACTCCTTACTGCTCAAGGTGTCAAGTGATGCATCCTTGCTTAGAAGAACACAGAGAATAGCTGAGAGGAGCTTGGGAATGTTGGTGACTCAGTAATGTAGCACTGGTACCAACTTGACATTGTATAAGCTAGGCAAGCACTCTGCTACTGAGCTGTATCCCCTACTGTAAAATCACAAATTTAAAAACAGGCTTATATATTTGTCAGTAAGTTAACTGTCAATCATGTGCTAGACAAAAATCCTGAGTCAGAAGTTTCAAGTTGGGAAAATGAGAGAAATCAGACATACACTCCCAGGTGCTACAGGTGCTATGGAAAGAGCAGGGTGGGAGGGGGAATGCCTGGCCTCTTGCTGGGGATGGGTGTGGAAATAGGAATGGAAAGGGAGACTGGGATGATATCATGAAAGGCAAAACCAATATCTGGGCCCAATAGGCAATATGGGCTAAGCAAGGTCATGATAATATGTTCCTTCACTCCACTGGTTAAGGAGGGAAGAGCTGCATGGAGGGTAGGAGCTGGCAAACAGGACTGCTGGGACAGAAGGGAGGGCTGTCCATGGGAGGTAGGAAACTATGGGAGAGGCACTGAGAAGGTACTGATGGGGACCACACCTTCTATTCTTACTTCCAGCAAGCTGGAAGTTGATCCACAGCTGGCCTGTGTTATAATGAGTCAGGCTTCAGCCAAGGATCCAGGACTGATACTGCTGGAAGAGACTCTGATGTTCCCCAGTCCATGACTCCCAAACTGCAATGTGTGATATAGATAAAAAAAAAAAAGTACCTTAGGACTCCTGCACTGCCCACAACAAACAGAGGAGTGACCCTGTATTTTGTAAGTTAGGACTCCCTATATGATCTTAGTTGACATAATCCATTAGTTAAGAGATCTAAGTAACATTTATCTAACCTTAATCCTAGTGATCCAGTCAATAAGTCTCTGGGACACTTGTACTAAGGGTCACACCTGGAGCCTAGTTCTTTCAGTTCATCCTGAAAACAAGGACTGTCTAGAGCGCTGTTCCCTCTTAATGACAGGTCTGTGCACATTACTACAACTGTGAGCCCCATGGCTCTGTCCACTGTCTACTTGCTGCTGAGTTAAGGACTCCACTGGGTAGGGCCACAGCTCAAGAGTTGCGTCCTTCTTCAGGACTGAAAGCAGATGGGCTTGGTTTATTCATATTCATGCTACAGCAGCACCAATGCACAAGAGCTGTGGATGTCTCTGGCCAAGGAGGACACTACTGAGGTCCAAAGAAGCCAAGTCAGTAATCTAGATTCAGGCTGGGCAAGAGGCAAAAGCTAAGCATAGTGACACCACAGCTAGCACTTGTTCTCCACCAGCCAACACTACGGCCCCATTACTATGTCCCACAGAAGTAATTCAAAGGAGAAATACCTCCAAGTTTTAAAAGGCAAGATTGGAGCTGTCCATTGTGGTTCTCCATATTTTCAGAACAGGATTTCTTGCTTGCTCTCTTGAGATAAGGGTTTTGGGGAAAGAAAGGAAGTATATGGTTGGACCTGGGCTGCTGGTGTTAACAGATGAGAGCACAGCAAATTGAGAATGAATGCTCAAATCTTTAACCTGCTCAGGATGCAATGGCACACTTGGGGTGAGAAATACAGGTACGAAGCTCAGGAAAGATGTCTGGAGAGGCAATGAGGCAGTCTTGCATTGTCCTCTTGTAAACCAACCATTTTGTCCTTCAGAAGGAAAGCTCGTAAGACCAGCCAACAGCATGAACCACATCAGCACTATAGAGCACTTCATCCCAGTACCTTCATTCAACTCTGACAGATTCTTGAGACAAGTTGGGGGTAGTTCAGAGAGAGGAACTCCCTTCACAAAGGGAAGACTTCAAGGGCCTATTGCAGTGGGAAAATTGAGTGCTCACTGGCCTAGGCCTACACAGGTCACCCTATCCTGGCACATATACCTGGTTCTCCCAGCCCAACACTTGACCTCCAAGGATGAATCTTGACCAGATGTGAACAAAAGTCACCCATGTGTGTCTAAATGCATGTAAGAGCCTGTATTACAAAAGTTCTCAAGTCACTTGGAAAATACTTACTGAGCTGATCCAGGGCTGATGGTGGCATAATTACTGTGGAAAGAATATTTGAGAAATTTAAGAAGATAAAACTCAAAAAGATAGACTAAAGGCAAGGGGCAGTTTCTTTCATATTTAAAAGTTTTAAGCAATATTTTTAGGCTAGACAGAATTTCATAATGGTCTTCTTTTTTTTTTTTTTTTTTTGGTTTTTTTAATAAGACTTTTCAGTTTTTCCTGAAAGTGACTTTTTTTTCTTTTAGTACAGGGTGTACAGGGTCTCACTGTGTAGATTGGACTCGTAGTGATCCGCCTGTTTCTTTTTTGTTGTTGTTGGCGGAACTGGGGATTGAACTCAGGCCCTTGCACTTGGCAGGGAAGTGCTCATTCTACTGAGCCATCTGCTCTGCCATAATGGTCTTTCTTAACAAATCTTACTTAACATGATTTATTTTGGGGGACTGAATGTTTCTTCATCACAAATCTAATCATAATTAGCACTCTACTCCCACCACCTCCACCCAATCAGTGAGTCTGAGACACAAGACATTTTTACTATAAGGATAGCTTCTGGTGCTCACATGCCAAGTATGGGCTGGGCAAGGGTACAAGTTTCATAGACTTTTAGCAGGGAAGGTTACTATTCAAAATAAAAACAGGGCGTGGTGGCACACGCCTGTAATCCTAGCACTGGAGAGGCTGAGACAGGAGGATCAGTACAAGTCTGAGCTGCATAGCAGACCCTATACCAAATAAATAAAAGATCAAAATAAAAACAAGCACATACTCTTCCCTCCTTTCTCCACATCTGACCTGTCATTAGGCCCTGCGAGCATGGACACAGAGAAGCAGCGGTATTGTGTGGAGAAGCGGTTCTGGAAGACCCGGGGAATTGGGTGGTCAAACATGTTGAAAGAGAACTAGAAGAAGGAAAAAAGACACTGGCATTAGAACAAAACAGACACATTTATTTTTATTTTTAGTGGCGGGGTTTTGCTATGTTGCTCAGATTAGTTTTAAGTAGCTGGAACTATAGGTGAGAGCCACTGTGCCTGTCACAAACACACATTTCTTTAAGCCAAAATGTGACCAGGTCTTTAATACTGCTAAACATGGTTGAAGAACACATTGTACTCAAATCCTGATTAACCACAATGTTCCTGTATCTTCAGCAGTATTACACTTCAAATTCTTTCTGCTCCACCCAGACTCATCCCTTGGATATAATTCTATTACCTTTAGGCAGCACATCTTATTAAAATATAAAGCTGGCTATACAGCAGCTACCCTTATTTTGTTCAGGGCCGCTCCTATACTCAGGATCAAGGTTACAGCTCCTGCACACACTGCAGAGACTTGTTACTGACCATCCCAGTTACCAAACCTACCATGCTCCTACCTGGACTAATTCTTCCACTTAGAACTAATTTCCTATCACCATTAATTAATTAACTAATTAATTTTATACATTTGGTACAGGGTCTCACTATGCAGCTCAGACTCATAGTGATCCTCTTGTTTTCAGCCTCCCCAGTGCTGGGATTACAGGTATGCACAACCATGTCTGGTCTTGGTGGCCAGCCTGGCGCACTGGGGGACAGGGCCAGCAAGCATGTGGTGCTGGGGATGGAACCCCAGTCCTTGTGCTTGCCTAAGCAGGTGCTTAGACCATTGAGCTATCTCGTCAGCCCACCATTAACTTAAAACACATTTATTGATAATTATCTCTTTTTAGTGAGTCCAATTATCTGCCAGGCTCTGACCTGGACACTAGGACAATATAATCCTAATGGTGAGGCTGGGGAGACAGCTCAGTGGTCTAAGTGCCTGCCGGGCAAGCACAAGGACCCAGGTTTGATCCCCAGTACCACATGCCACGCCAGCTCTGAAACTGGGTGTAGTGGGGCACACATGTAATCCCAGCACTGGGAAAGCTGAGAGAAGAGGATCACTATAAGTCCGAGCTATGTAGCAAGACCCTGTACCAAGTAATAAATAAACAATTAAAATATTAAAATATAATCCTAGTGGTGTTTGTTTACTAACACAGCAGATACTACCCTCTGCCCAGGTAGACCTGATGTTCAAGAGAGATACATAAAAGAGAACATGTCAAGTAGCTTTAAGTCAAGAAGCAGGATAAAGGAACACAGGGTTTCTGGAAATGATATTTTGACAAGTCAGGAAGGGACTACCTGCAGGGAGACCTACATTCCATGCCGAGGTGTAGGAAGGAAACAGGAAAAAGCATTCAAGACTGCACTCCTTCCCCTGGCTTTCAGTTACCATCCTTTCCTTTCTCTATGAGGCCTCCTTTGCTCTGCCCTGGGTCTGTGCTAGTGCCCCTCTAGCAAGTTTTCACAGCATGCAGCAGTTATGAATGTTGTGCTACAGTATGATGCTTTTTCACATCAACAAGCAAGGTCAAGACATATAAAAAGATCCTGGCTCTTAACCTATGGACTAAGACCAGGTTTGACAATATGTTATAGATCAACTTGGGATTTTTCTCAAAGTACTTCAAGTACTATGACATTTGACGAGAATATAAAAACCTTGTAGTACGATATATATCCAAAAGAACTGAAGGTAAGAACATTCCTGCTCATAACAGCACTATTATAGTAGCACAAAGTGTCAGGGATATAGCTCTGCAGCATAGCGCCTGCCTGGCAAGTATGAGGTCATCAGTTTGATTCCTGGCACACACACAAAAGTAAATATACTAGCATAAAGTGGAAGCAACTCAAATGTCCACTGACATATGAATAAAGAAAATGTGTTTTATATATATTCAGTGGAATATTATTCAGCCTTATACAATAAGGAAATTCTGTCACATGGATGAGCCTTGAGGACATTACGCTAACTGAAATACAACAGTCATAAAAGGACTTACAGCTAATGGTCCCACTCATATAAAATCAAGACAATAAATTAAATTCGCAGATACAGAAAGTGGAATTGAGGTTGCCAGCATCTGTGAAGAGGTAAAAATGATGAGGAGAGTACCTAATGATAAGTACTTATACTCGTGATTACAAAACTAGGCAAGCTGCACCAGCTATTTCCCTAAAATGACATTCATCACTACCTAGAGCTCTAACACAGCAATTTTCAATCATTTTATCTCTCTTAAGTGCCATATCCAACTTAATCTCACATAAAAGCACAACAAATGAAACACCTTATGGTGACTGAAGCCAGAAGAGTGGGCACCTCATTAAAAATCCTCTCATGACCCACTCCATCTAAGCCATTTCTTCTCTTCCAGAAGTGAAAGAGGAAAATGTACAAAAAGTATACAACATCCTTAACAGGCCACCTCCAGTTCGTTTTTCTAAGAACCCGACCTGTTCCTCCCAGTTCACTTCTGACTCCACATTTTTTACTCTCCGTTCCTTTATTGCAGCCAGACAGTCTTGGCTTCAAATCTCGAGGAGCTCCTCACTTTTGTGACCAGGAGTAAATTCTCTCTGAAAACTTTAGTTTTCTCCAGCGTAAGATGGCAATAACTATCCTTGCCTCCAGGAGGATTGTGGAGATTACAGGGGATAAAATGTGCTGAGGGACTACAGGCACAGCAGAAAAAGGTGACAGAAAATATTAGCTACGCTTATCACTACCGAACAAAATACAACTAAGTACATTCGAAAGCACGAACCCAGATGCACAGAGCTGACCGAACTGGTGCAAACAGTTGGAAGTCCTCCACGCCCACGCGGATTCCTCATCTCCACCATCGCCAACTTTTTTTTTTTTTTTTTGTACCAGGAATCGAACTCAGGACCTTGAGCTTGCCAGTTAGGCACTGTGCCGCTGTGCTGCTATATCGTCGGCCCCCAACTTTCTAGTTAATTTTCGGATTATGGAAACCTGTTGCGTATCGAGGACTTCTGAGACATTTGGGTGGACAGAAACGTATGCTCTTTCCTACACGCAAGGAGCTCAAGCCCAGCTAAGAGAGAAAATGTAAATCGTAGTCCAAAGTGGAGAAAAACAAACGTAGTTCGTGGTCAACCGTCCGGCTCACGCCACAAGCGCCTGGGACTGGCAGGCGGGCCGGAGTCAGGCCCGGGTGACTCGGCATCTGCCCCGCCGACCCGCCCCACCTCCCTGGGCACTGGTTAGAGCCCTAACCTAATTCATAGCTCCCAACTATTGCTCAGCAGTGCTTACCATTATGGACACCGCTTCGTAGATGCCGCTTCTCTCAGGGACGTTAGGATAGGAACCCTGCGGTAGCTCTCTTCAACCACTGCAGTCGCCTCACAGAAATTCAGACCTTCTGGAACCTCACCGGAAGTACCCGATCTGAGACCCACAGAGGGGGAGCAGCGGTTGTCGGGTGTAAATGAAAAAAGCCAGGCGAAGACCTCGGATATAAAAATTACTCAACATAAACATTAAAATATATTTCAGTAACTTATTTGCCTGTTTAAAGAAAGTTTTAAAGTTAATTTAAAAATTTTTGGAAAGTACTCGCCTCAAGATGAACTTGGTAGGGTCCATTCCCTTTACTGACTACATTACCCAGAAAGCATCTAGAGCCTTCCGGCTTTTGGTTTCGCCATCTTGGACTCTGGCGGAAGTAATCTATGCACCCATCTTCAAACCGAACCAGAAATCTATTGAAAATTCAAAACGCCGTCCTCAACCCAACGGTAACTAAATTTGATTTACTGCTGTGAGTATATTTTCCTCAAAGTGCCCAATGTGAAACGGCAGGCTTTTTTCTTCCCAAAGTAAAGATGTCCGCCGCCGAATGTGAGGTTTCTGGGTAAATGAGAGTCAGAGTTTAAGGTAGCAACCTTATTTGTACCAACCCCCAGAGACAAAGTAATGCTTATTCGGGGAGTTTTACAGCTGTGAATGGTGAAACGCTAAGGCCCACCCCAATATAGTCCAATCAGAAAGGAGGAAAGTTTGGGAACTTAGAGGCTATTGGTTATAGTCTGAGCCAATCAGAGGAATCATGATTTGGCGGGAGTCTTGACCCCTGGCCCCGTTCTTGGGATTTCAGTACAATCGCTAGGTGACCTGCCTCAGAGGCTATGTTCGTGTCCGATTTTCGCAAGGAGTTCTACGATCTGGTCCAGAGCCAGGTAACTGAGCGCAGGACCGAGGCCAAAGCCTTGTCTTGTGGGGAAGGGATGAGGGATGATGGTGGCCAGGAGGTTGGGATGCCGCCAGGGTTTAGGTCGCCGCGCTGAACCCATCCACTTTTCTCCCAAACAGAGAGTTCTTCTCTTCGTGGCTTCGGACGTGGACGCTCTTTGTGCTTGCAAAATTCTTCAAGTGAGCTCTGAGGATCTAGGAGGGTGGGCCAGGGTGTGAAGTGAGGGGAACAGCTGGCTTGAACAGATGTGGTGGGTGTAAGGTGGGTGAAGAGAGGTGAGAGGAGAGAGTCGGGTTAGGTTACCTTCTTGTCTGGACTGTGTTGGGAGCCAGAGAAGAGGAGTGTAGAAGGCGAGATTAGGATTTTTATAAGAAGTCAGGCAGAAAAACTGACTTCACTTGGAAGGACTTTGGTTAAATGTGGGGTTTGAGAGAGGAATTTTTGACAACTGAGATATTATAGCAGTATCAGCATCAGTGGTGGAAATGGAAGACTCCCTTGTCTGCTAGGGAAGGTTGTTAGTTTGATTCTGAATATGGTGCATTTTTACATTGAACGTGGATCAGGAACTTCTCAGAACATTTGAAGTTAAGATGGATTTTGGCAGTTTTCACAAATTCAGCAAAATTGATGAACTGTACATTGAACATGTACATCCCTACAACCTAGCTTTTCCCATTAATATTTAGTAACTTTATCTTGTCACATTATTTTCCCTTAGAGCCGCTAGTATTTTTTAAACCCTTTTGTGTATTTCAAAGTAAAGTGTGGGGATACTACAACTACAAAGAAGATAAACTTGAAAATACTCTCCGTTCCAGGCTCTGTTTCAGTGTGATCATGTGCAATACACCCTGGTTCCAGTTTCGGGGTGGCAAGAACTTGAAACTGCATATCTTGAACATAAAGAACAGGTAGGAAAGATGCAATTTAGAATAGTTCAGCTATTTCTTTTCTTTTTTTTTTTTTATTGCAGTGATCAGGGTTTGAACTCGGGACCTCACGCATGCCAGTCAAGTGCTTATGCCACTGATCTGTCTCTCTGGCCCTAATTAGGTTATTTCTTACTCAATTACAATCACTCAATACTTAGTATTCTTCCTTTCTTTTTTTTTTTTTTTTTTTTTTTTTGGCGGAACCGGGGATTGAACTCAGGCCCTTGTGCTTGCCAGGGAAGCGCTTATACCACTGAGCCATCTGCCCAGCCCCCTTCCTACTTTCAATAGGTTGATTGGATAATTTTCAACTTCATTAGGCAACATGGAATACAAAAGCATGCTGTGTAATATTGATGACTTCAAATTAAGGAGACAGAATTGACAAAATATTGAATGTAGGCAGTACTTAACTTTGAATTATGTTTGCAGAAATTTGCTTGTAAAATGCTTAGAATTTAGCAATTTTTGATATGACTACATTAAAATTATTTCAGAATACATCACTATTTTTTTCTCTTTAAGAACATGTATTCTAATTTTCAACTTTAAATTTAATATTTTAAAAAATTATTTATTTATTTGGTACAGGGTCTCACTACACAGCTCAGACTTGTAGTAATCCTTTTGTCTCAGCCTCCACAGTGCTGGTATTACAGGCATGCACCACCACATATGGCATACCTGGGGTTCTGGGGCCAGCACAGCATGCAGTACTGGGGATCAAACCTGGGTCCTTGTGCTTTCCAGGCAGGCACTGAGACCACCTGAGTTATCTCTCCAGCCTTCAACTTTAAATTTAAAATTTAAAAATGAGTATTATTCCTTTGGAATTTAAACAGCAGAAGCCAGGACTCCTCCCTCTATACATGGAGCCAAGGAAGAGATGAGATATTATGGGCCACATCATTAAGGAGCTGGGGCATGGAAGAAGGTCCTGGCTACTTCTAGGACTGTTCTGGGAGAGATAAATTCTCCCATGGAGTTTTGATGATAACCTATGAAACTTGTGCCAGTTGGGTATTTCTAAGGACAGGTTTTGCTATAGTGATAGAGTATGATGGAAAACTTACTATTTAGATGCTCATAAAGTATGGACTACCCAAGATGTGCTAAAAATTTGAATCTGTGCAACACTATAAGCACAGAAAGATGCTGCAGTCCAGATATACCAGGAACTGAAGAAGACCCATTGTATGTTTGATGTCAAGCTCTGCTCCTTACAAGTTTCTTGACCCTGTATACAAGATTTGGGTATCACCTTGGAGAGGAAGTACCTGTAGAGTATGTTTAAGCACTTGGCACAAGTCACCCTTGGCTATTTTTTGAGGCTCTTGCTAGTACATCTGGGCCTTCCTATATGTCAGTGGCTTGCTGTGTCTTAGCAGACTCAGAAGTCTAGTGTGGTGAAGGGGAAGGGGCCTTCTCAATATAATTATTTTACAATGTTTCCCTTCTTTTTTCAGTTCCGCTATTTTATTCTTATAAACTGTGGAGCTAATGTAGATCTACTGGATATCCTTCAACCTGACGAAGATGCTATATTCTTTGTGTGTGATACTCACAGGCCAGTCAACGTTGTGAATGTATACAATGACACCCAGGTACCTGGGCCTTTGGGACTTTCCCTCTTGTGTCCTATCTGCTCAACCTATCTGTCCCTTTTTGTGCCTTGTATAATGTCATATCTGACCTTCTTAGTGAAGCATGTGTCCAGTCCCCCTGCATGATTGTGGATAGCCTGACTATGAGAGCCCAGTTCTTGTGTGTCTCTGATGATTGATATGGTACCTAGCCCGTGGATAGTGCTGAATGCAGTTATGGGATTTGCTTGACCTGAGAGGTATCAGGACCAGAACTTTGTGGCCTGAAATTACTCTGTGGTGCTTATTCTTTGAAACCCTGGACATCAAGCACAGACCTAGCGCTGAACAAGTGAACTGAGCTTTTCTGGACTTAATCTTTCCTACCCACCAAGGTGTGAGACGCGGATATTCTCACAGGAGGAGCCTTTCCAGGAGAAGTTTGCCTGGAATTGGTTTTAGAGATAAGAGTTGTATTCACTTTGGTGTCCAGTCTGTCTTAGTTCATTTTGTAGTGCTATAAGCAAATACCTGGGACTGGGTGTCTCATAAAAAAAGAGGCTTGGTGTTGTGACACATGCCTTAATCCTATCATTTAGGAATGTGAGGCAGGCAAATTGTAAATTTGAGGCCAGCCTGAGCTGCATAGTAAGTTGAAGGCCAGAATGGACTATGTAGAGAGACCTGGTCTCAAAAAAACAAAACAAAAACAAATAAACCCAGATTTATTTAGCTCACAGTTCTGGAAATTTAAGAGCATGGTGCCATTACTTGCTTGGCTTGGCTTGGCTAATGAGGTCCTCATGGTTGGTATCATATGAGAAGGAAAGAGACTGAAGGAGCAAGGGATTGAGTAGTATCACATACTGAGATAGGAAGCAAGAGTATAAGCTGAGACAACTTTGAAACAAGCCATGCTTGCAGGAAGAGACCACTCCCAGGAGACCTGACCCATTTCTCAGAGACAACATTAATCCACTTTGGTGGGTAGAGTGCCCAAAATCTAATCACCTTCCAGGAAGCCTGGCTTTTAATGGTTCCACCAGTTCAGCACCATCATAGCAAAGCATAGCAGCATCTTCACATCCTTCATCAGCATCCAAGTTGTGGAACATTGATTTTGTTAATATATGGTATAAGAGAGATCTGTTTTTCCGGACTTAAGTAAGCTATAGGTGGTTTTCAAAAAATTGTTTTCAGGTTTTCGTAATTTCTTCATACCATGTGGTACACTCTAGTGCCTCACTGAGTGACATTGAGAACAAGGAAATGCCTAAGACATCTGAACTCTTCTCAGACAGTTGGTTATTTGTATAAACAAAAAACTTGAGTCAGCTAATTCAAAATGATAAAGATTCTACAGGAGAAAAACGCATGATGAACAGTTTTTCAAGGAGAGATGAGAGACTTGATTGCTTTTCTGCTTTTTGTAAATAAATAATTTTATTGAGAAGCAAATAGCAATAAGACAGTTTCAAAATTAGTAGATTAGTAGGACAGTTTCAATAATTGATACATTGCATATTTTTGTCTTCTTAGTGGTTATTCATAGTCCAAGATGCAGACATGATACACTGTCCACAGACATTATTAGTACAAATCTTTCTATTCATTGAATTAAGAGAAAGTAGCTATATGTCTATCCTATTTTGAATATACAGATACAAAATGGTCCTTCATTTATATCCCCCTTTTTTTGTTTAGTTTTGTCAGAGATGCTTTTCTGTTTTAAACTTAGATCAAATTGCTCATTAAACAAGATGATGACCTTGAAGTTCCTGCCTATGACGACCTCTTTAGAGATGAAGAGGAGGATGAAGAGCATTCAGGAAATGATAGTGACGAATCAGAGCCTTCTGAGAAGCGCACACGGTTAGAAGAGGTATGTTTGGGTCTCTCATAGTATCCTGGGGTAACCTGCATTCTTAACGGTCATCCCCAGAGCCTGCTGGGCCCAGGAGTAACGCAGAGGAAGTAGGTACAGGTGGAAATGAGTCAGCAGGTGTGGGTACTGACCCTGGGCTCTGCTGTCTCCTCTGGTTTTGTTTCAGGGTACTGGACCCTTGTGAGCTACAATTTCCTTACGTCTAGAATCCTATTAGATGAAATAAAACTTAGGACAGCTCAGTTCTATGGGCTGATAGGAAATGTTTGTGTTTTTGAGACATGGTTTTGCTCTATCTCTTGGGGTATCCTCAAACTCTCATTGTTCCTGCCTTAGCCTCCAGAGTGCTGGGATTATAGGATTGTGCCACCATGCCCTAGCAACCAACATTAAAAAAAAGATTTATTTGGTACAAAATCTCACTATGCAGCTCAGACTCATAGTGATCCTCCTGTTTCAGCCTCCCTGGCATTGGGATTACAGATGTGTGCTACCACACCCAGTTTCCCTGGCCAGTACAGTGTGGGGCCAGTGTGGCCTGTGGTATTGGGGATCATGACCTTCAAAGCTAAATTACATGTTTTAGAACTTAACTGGGATTACAGGCACATGCCACCATGCCCAGTCTCAATTGCTATCTCAGTTATAAAGGAGTCATGTCCTTCAAAGTTAAGTTATATTTTTTCTCCTTGCCTTTTCATGCTTCTCCATTTCACAAAGAACTTTGGGTAGAAGCAAAATAGCTGAGTCAAGTGGAATTTCTAGTTTAATTTTATTTTTTATTCTTTTTTTTTTTTTTTTTTTTTTTTTTTTTTTCAGAACCGGGGATTGAACTCAGGCCCTTGTACTTGCCAGGGAAACACTTATTCTACTGACCTATCTCCCCAGCCCCTTATTTTTTATTCTTTTATTTTTTCTAGTTTTAGTTTTTTTGAGGAATCTCCATACTGATTCCCATAGTGGTTGTACTAGTGTACATTCCCACCAGCAATTTAGAAGGGTTTCTTTTGCCCTACAGCCTTGCCAACATTTGTTATTATTTGATTTCTTTATACTAGCTGTTCTTTCTGGGGTAAAGTGGTATCTCTGTTGTTTTAACTTTGGCCATCTGTACTACTTCTTTTGTGAAGTGTCTATTCATTTCACTTGCCCATTTTTTAATCAGGTCTTTTATTTTGAGGAGTCTAATTTTTTATTTTTTTAGTTCTGCATATATTGAGGATGTTAGTCCTCTGTCCCTGGGCCATCCAGAGGTCTTTCTTTTTTATTTTTTGCTTAGTTTGGTTTGGTTTTTGAAACAGGATCTTGCTATGTCATTCAGGCTGGTCTATATAGCCCAGGCTGGTCTTAAATTCCCTGTGATCTTCCTGCCTCTGCCTTCTAAGGGCTAGAATTATAGGCATGTGCCTGGAGGCATGACCAGCTGGATTGGTTCAGTTCACTTGCCATTTATGGATTGGGCTATTTGATTTTTTGGTCTTGAGTTTTTGAGTTCTTATAGTCTAGATAGTAATCCTCTATCAGAAGAGTAGCTGGCAGGAGGATCACTACAAGTCTGATCTACATAGTGAGACCCTGTAGACCCTGTATCTCCTGTACTAAACACATTAAAAAAAAAGAGTAGCTGGCAAAGATTTTCTCTTCCCTCTGTAGGTTGTTCATCTTGCTGTGCAGAAAACTTTTTAGTTTGATATAATCTCATTTGTTAATTCTTGGTATTAGAGTTCTATTCAGGAAGTCTCTGCCTATGCCTATGGCTTCAAGTGTTGCCTCTGTTTTCTTCTAGCAGTTTCAAAGCTTTATGTCTTAGATCCTTTATTTTTTGAGACAAGGTCTCTCTATGTTGTTCATGCTGGCCATGGACAGACTTACTATATAGCCTAGGCTGACCTTGAACTCATAGCAATCTCTCCTGCCTTAGCCTCCCACGTGTAGAGATTTATGTGCATCACCATGCCTGACATTTTTTTTTAATTTAATTTTATTTATTTATTTTTTAACTTGTTTATTTATTTATTTGTGTGTGTGTGTGGGGCCAGCTCAGCCCACCAGGGGCGGGGCTGGCTGGCATGTGGTGCTGGGGGATTGAACCGCGGTCCCTGTGCTTTAATAAGCTTGTTCTAAGTAGGTGCTTTAGACCACTGAGCCATCTCACCAGCCCCATGCCTGACATTTTTGAATTGATTTTGTATAGGTGAGAGAGGAATCTAGTTTCAATCTTCTATGTTTGTATATCTGTTTTTTCACTCTCATTTGTTAAAAAGGCGGTCTTTTCTCTAACATGTTTATCTGGCTCCTTTGTTAAGAATCAGATGGTTGTAGTTCTCACTTTGTACTTCAGGATGGCCTTGTACCCACTGTCTAGACCAGGCCAGCCTTAAACACATGGAATCCTCCTGCCTCAGGTTCTGAAGTGCTGGCATTATAGGTGTACACCACCATGCTTGGCTCCATACTAGAATTTGTACTGTAATTTGAAACTGGGTATTGTGAGGTTTCGGTCTTGTTCATTTTACTTGAGATTGTGTTGTCTGTCTTGTGTCTTTTGTGTTTCTGTGTGAATTTTCAGATTGTTTTTTCTAACTTTGTGAAAAATATCTTTGGAATTTTGATGGGTATTGCATTGAATCTGTAGATTGCTTTTATTTCATTTTTTTGTGGAACCAGGGATTGAACTCAGGCCCTTGTGCTTGCCATTCAAGCACTCATTCCACTGAGCCATCTCCCTGGTCCCTACATTGCTTTTAGTAATATGCCATTTGAACACGAAGTTCTGTTGATTCATGAATGCGGAAGATCTTTAGTATTCTGTAATTTTTACCATAGAAGTCTTTTACTTCTGGTTTAGGTTGATTTTTAGGTATTTTATTTTTTTAAACTATTATGGATGGAATTGTTTTTCCGGTTTCTTTCCCAGCTATTCCACTATTGGTGTTAGAAAAGCTATTTATTTTTATTTTTATTGATTTATTTATTTGGTACAGGGTCTCAATATTCAGCTTAGACTTCTAGTGATCCTCCTGTCTCAGCCTCCCCAGTGCTGGGATTACATGCATGCGCCACCCCACCCAGTTTTGGGGCCAGCACAGCTTGCTGTACTGGGGATTGAACCTGGGTCCTTGGGCTTGCCAAGTGGGTACTTAGACTGCTGAGCTATCTCCCCAGCCCCCTATTTATTTTTTAAATTGAGACAGAGTCTTGTTAGGTATTTCTAGTTGGGGTTGAACTCTATATATTCCAAGCTAGCCTTGAACCTCTAGCGATCCTGCCTCAGCCTCCTGAGTGCTGGAATTATAGGCATGTACCACCATGCCCAGAAAGCTATTGTTTTTTTTTTTTTTTAAAAGATCAATCGTTTATTTAGCTCAGTTTGTAGATGTTTCAGTCCATAATCAGTTGGCTGCAAGGCAGGGTGGCACATGGCAAAGGGGCATCAGTTCATGATGGTAGAAAACAGCAAAAGCAACAAGCAGAGAGGGAGGAGTAGGGTAAAGAGAACGAAAGGGGGAGAAAGGGGAGACATAAGGGAGCTAGGAAGATCTAGATATTGACGTTTTTAATGCTGATTTTGTTTGATCTTCTTTAGCTATTGATGAACTACTTACTGGGCCACAAATATCAGTAGTCAGTGAGATGATCCCCTGGAGACAGTCATGTTCTACAGCTAAGAGTGTTGGAATTCTTCACTCTGACTTAATAAACAAATGTAGCCCAGACCCTCGCATGATAATCATACATTGTACCACTAAGCAATTTCTCCTACCCTAATATATATTTTCAACACCCATTCTGTGCCAGGTACCAGTCAGGCCCTGAAGTACAAGGGTAAGAAACAAATCCCTTTGCATAGCTTCCTTTCCAGTGGGAGAGAATAATCATGAATACAGTTAACAAGCACAATTAATAATTTCAGGTGGAAAAATAAGATTTAGTAACTTTATAGAAAATGGATAGTTGGTTCCTTAGAGATCTTGAAAACTTGTCCAGAGACTGAATGAGGTGAATACTTGGATAGAGCACTCACAGGCAAAAGGGCCCTGAGGTGAGGAGGAAAGTCTTTTTTTTTTTTTTTTTTTTTTTT